TAGTAGTAGTAGTAGCAGTAGTAGTAGTAGTAGTAGTAGTAGTATGTAGTAGTAGTAGTAGTAGTAATAGTAGTAGTAGTAGTAGTAGTAGTAGTAGTAGTAGTAGTAGTAGTAGTAGTAGTAGTAGTAGTAGTAGTAGTAGTAGTAGTAGTAGTAGTAGTAGTAGTAGTAGTAGTAGTAGTAGTAATAGTAGTTGTAGTAGTAGTAGTAGTAGTAGTAGTAGTAGTAGTAGTAGTAGTAGTAATAGTAAAAGTAACAGTAAACGTAAAAGTAAAAGATAATAGTAGTAGTAGTAGTCGTCGCAGTAGTCGTCGCAGTAGTAGTAATAGTCGTCGTCGTCGTCGTCGTCGTCGTCGTCGTCGGCATTGTCGTCGCCTTCGTCGTCGTCGTCGTCGTCGCCGGAGCGCTGGCTCGGCCCTCGTAGCAAAACCAGCGTGTCCGCGTCCCGAGCTTCCAGGACGGCCCAGGCAGGCAGCCAAGGCAGCCAAGGTGGCTCGAGGTGCCTCGTGGGCCAAGATGGCCCCAGGGCGGCCGAATGGGGCCTCAGAGCGGCCCTGGACGCCGAGGGCCGAAGGAGGTTCCAAAAGGACCTCCGACAGGGTTCGAAGAAGACAAGCTTTTGGATCGCCCTTATGTTTTGCATGTTTTTCGCATCCTCGATTTTTGTCGGGCTTCCGTCAGCTCAAGACGGCCCAAGAAGCCTCCACGATGGCCCTACGCTAGACGCACCCACGAGGTTCTAAAGATGGCACAAGGGGACCCCGCGCGGGCCCAATAGGCATCCAACGAGGGCCTCCCATGGGACCGAAGACGGTCTAGAAAGCCCTTCGACTGCCCAAAACGACGCTAAAATAACCCCACGACGGCCTCCTGGCACACACCATACTGCCAAGAGGGTCCTAACCGGCCCATGGAGATGGACAGAGGGCCCCCAGCGGACCCCCAAGACTGCCTCACAAGAGGCAAAGGCAGCCGCAAGACAGCCCGAATGAGTTCCATGAGAGCTCCTCGAATCGTGCAGACAGGAAGCGTAAGGTGTGACGGCCTTTTCCCCTCCTCCTCCCCCTCCTCCTGCTTCTCCTCCTCCTCCTGCTTCTCCTCCTCCTCCTCCTCCACTTCCTGCTCCTCCTGCTCCTCCTGCTTCTCCTGCTCCTCCTGCTCCTCCTCTTCCACCCCTTCCTCCTGCCTGAACTGCCTGGTGCATGCGTTTCGTTGTGCCCGTTGGTGTGGCTTCGAAGGAGTTGCTGGCATTGATATTGTCCCTCGATCGTCACGACATCGATGAGTTCTTCATCGACGATAGTAACGCCTCTGCTATTCTTGCAGGGAGCGGAGTCTGTTCTGCTCAAGGTGGATGGTGGGTTCCGCCGCATTCCTCGTCCGCCTCGGCCCACCGTGGTTACGCCCCAGGCAGCTGGACCTGGCCGTGTCGCAGCTCGTTCGGTGCTGCCGCCACCGCCAGCTCCTCCGCCTGCCTCTCTGGCTTCCATGATGGACGAGTACAAGATCAACAGCAAGCGGAGGAGGAGGAGGAGGAGGAGGAGGAGGAGGAGGAGGAGAAGAAGCAGAACCAGCGTGTCAAAATCACGAAGAGGCAGTACCAGAAGAAGCGCCCGTGCGTGGGACACCTGCCGGGCTGGGGCCCTGCCCGAGACGCCGCCGGACCAAGCACTTCGAGCAATACCAAGGGGAACAAGAAGCACAAGAAGCGCGAGGAGAGCCCGAACCTGGAGCCGAGGAAGATGGTGCTGCCGCCCCGTCCGCCTCGGAAAAGGGAGGCTCCGCCGCAGGACCCGTACGCGACGAAGGTGCCGTCGCCTCCGACTGCGTCCACTTCGGGAGTTCGTGCGCCGCGGACTCCGCCACGTCGCAGCAGGTGGTGGAGTACTACATCGGGGATCCCTCCTCCCCCGAAGGCGTCGACTCACTGGTGGTGGTGAAGTTCGAGAAGAAGGTCAAGAAGAAAAAGAAGGCTAAGAAGGAGAAGGATAAAGATAAGGCTCATCTGGAGCCTGAGTTCACGGGTGGCAGTTTTTCGGAGGATGAGATGAATGATAGTTCCTGTGCTGCGTCGGCCTGTGCTGCGAAGGGCGGGCTTTCAGGACAGCAATATCGAGATCAGGTTGGAGCTTGTTGCGCCGCGACTGGTGGCGAAGTGCTCCCAAAGTATAGCGTCGACGATTTCGAGGGGATGGACGAAGCCCTGAAGCAGAAGCTCATCTTCATGGGCCACCTGCGAGAACGGGCCAGTGCATCTTCTTCCTGAGGTCTCGCGCCGAGCCGAATCTCGTCGTCTACATCCTTGGTGCGAACTCCTATGGCATCGTGGTCGGGTTCAGCTTCCTTGACGGCTGGGTGGACTCGACCTGGTTCTTCTCTGGTTTCCACGTCGTCGTCGATTGGGTGCCAATTCGGCTCAAACCTCTTTTCTCCCCCTGCGCGGGCGCCTCTTTCGAAGTCGTGCGCAGCAACGGTCAGCAGCAAAAAAAACAAACTCCTCCTCCCTTCCTTCTGCTCCTCCCCGTCGCAGCCCCCGACGTGTCGGCAGGGTGGGCTGGGCGTGTCGCCTGAGACCTCCTCACCGTTCGTGGCCCCAGCGCTCGACATGCTGCAGCGGTGTCGCTGGTGCAGGGCGGGTGGTCCTCAGAAGGTGGCTCTCGCTCGGAACTGCTGCAACAGCAGCTTTGAGGACGGGGGGCGGGTGGTTTCCAAAATGTGGCTCTCGCATCAGCGCCGCGTCAATTCGTCTCAAAACGTTGTAACCGTTCAACGCTAGAGGGCGGGCTTCTAGCAATGGCTCTCGCCTCAACGCCGCGCACACTCGTCTTGAAAGTGTACAACGGTTTCAAGGATTTGTATGGTTGAACTCCCAGGGATAGTGTTGTGGAACGACTTCGGATTGTCAAGACGTAGCAGTCACGTTGGCTCGAGGTGCTCATGCCCCAGGGATGGGTTTCTGGTGCGATTCAGGACTGCCGCCACGACTCAACAGTCACATTGATTCACGGCGCTGAAGTCCCAGGAAATGTGTTTTGACACGACTGGGGATTCTCAAACGGTTGTCTTCCAATGGGGCACGTCCCGCAATGAAAATTGATTGTTGCAGGGACCTGTGGACCTATGAAGAGGGAACTTGCAGAGAGGGTCTATTGCAACATCGTTGATGCGCCTTGGGTTTGCACTGGTCCTCCTCCTGCTCCTACTCCTGCTCCTACTCCTCCTCCTCCTGCTCCTCCTCCTTCTCGTCGACATCATCATCATCATCATCATCATCATCATCATCATCATCATCATCATCATCATCATCATCATCATCATCATCATCACCGCCATCACAGCCAGCATCACCATGGCCACTATCCTCCTCCTCCTCCTCCTCACCACCACCACCACCGCCATCATCATCCTCACCACCACCACCACCACCATCATCATCATCATCATCATCATCATCATCATCATCACCAGCATCATCATCATCATCGTCATCATCATCATCATCATTACCATCACCACCACCATCATCATCGTCAGCATCAGCATCACTATCATCACTATCATAATCAGCTTCTCAATTATCATATTCATCATCAACACCATTATCATAACCATCATCAGCCACGTCATACACGTCACCATCATCACCACCATCAGTATCATCATCAGCTCCATCAGCATGATCAGCATCATCATCAGCATGATCATCAGTATCATCATGATCATCATCACCATCATCAACACCACCATCATCATGACCATCAGCATCATCACCGCAATCGTCATCATCATATTCATCATCATGATCATCATCATCACCATCATCATCATCATCATCATCATCATCATCATTATCATCAGCATCATTATCATCATCATTATCTTGATCGTCAAACTCATCATCACCACCATCATCATCACCATCTTCATCACTCACGGCCATCATCATCACCACTATCATCACCACCATCACCGTTATCATCACCATCACTATAACCATCATCATCACCACGACTCACCCAACCCTGGACACTGGAGACATGCGGTGTCACACGTGACGGCCTTCCGTACCCCTTCGAACAATCGCTGGGCCGACACGGTGGCGGGACTTGCCGCAGGCAGCTGGATACCGCAGGTTCGTGTCGTGTCGACTACGGCTTTGGTTCCTGACACCGCTGGGATCGTTCAACTTTGAACGATCGGCCGCGTCCGAAACGTCAGATTGTCCAACATCCAACATCGACCGACTCTGGGTCGCCGGCGGCCTTCAACATTGAACGCCAGCGGCGTGGTTGTCGGAAGTCGACACGACGAGACCGTGCCGTACCCAGAATACTGGGCTGGCACCGCGGCGGGACGTGCCGCAAGCAGCTGGTTATTCGGGTCAATGTCGGCGGCGTTGTGCAACCTGGGCCCGACCGAGCCTTTCTCGCTGCCAACCTCGGCTGGCTTCGGCACTCGTTCTAATCTCGCGTGCTGTCTTGGAGGGTGGGCTTTCATTTCGTCCGCATTCGTTTCGTCCACTTTCGATACGTCCTCTCCCAAAGCCCAGGCGAGTTGAAACCGGACGGATCGAGGCGGACGAATCAAACCGGACGAATCGAAGCGGACGAAATGACAT